TCATAAGTCGAGGCATTCTCATCGACGTCCGGAATCTGAAAACTGATGTGTTGCAGATGCCTAAAGCTCATAGTGATAGGCGAATTAGTTGAGACTAAGTTTCCCTTGCGGAAATGTGCTTATGCTGCTTGTATTAGTTAACGTAGGTTAACTGGTTTGAAGGTCTGCACAGAGCCATACGTTTTAAGTAATTAACTGATAAATAGAATATTAATCTGACTTTTCAATAAATTCTTTTTGCCTAAAAGCGTTCGTTTTGGAGGGTAACTGTTTAATGCATCAAAGAAATGGCCTAAGGGAGGTTGAAAAACCACGCAGATAGTGGGTTAAGTGATCAGTCTCATTAGTACTAGCTTCTTTGTAGACAGAGATCATACACTCACGTGAAGAGGCAAGTCGAAGGTGTGGCCCAAGGTGTGTCAAAGGCGTGCAAACCACTGATGTCACGCTGGTGAATATTAATCAACGTAGACCAGGGTTCACGGCAAGACCAACCAAGACAGCGCACGTCATTCAATGACCTTAACCCCACCCCGTATGCACCTAAGGCACCTCGAAGGAGTGGGTGTGGTGGGGACTTAGTTGAGCACTGAAATAGTCCCTAGAAATTCGTTGATGAAAGTTCACCGATCACCAACGGACCTCACTCGTCCCCCTCTGACTTGGGTCTCATTTCTGGGGGCCCTTATAGCAGTCGCGCAGATAGTATTGTCGGTAAAGACAAATGGGACTGGAATGGCAATTTTTGGCTTATTAGAAATCGTCAGCAGTCATACCCAGCTATAAGTGATGCACCAACCGACGTGTATCGATCCAAACCGGCAAGACAACGAACCCGTTAAGAATTTAGACTCGCTCAAAAATGTCGCAAGTTCAAGGCTCGGGTGGTGCACTGCTTGGGTCTGGGTATGACTGGCTAACGATGGCTATTGAGCCAGAAATGGCCATTCCAGTCTCCTTTGTCTTTGCCGGCAATACTATCTGCCTAGTCACTAGACCTCAAAATTTAGCAGTGTAGTAAACTGGAGGATACTCCAGGCGCCATAATAAGAAGAGCGACGCTCCGTAAAGGTCACCCTGGCGAAATGTGCTAAGTGTGTCAAGCTCTCCGTTTACGACAGTCGGAATGTCATGTGAGTCCTGGAGAGCGCTGTACGCAGTTTTAAACAGGGACTCAGTTTACTTTGGATGGAAGGCAGCAATACATTTAACAGTCAACGGTCATAAGCATAGAATGGATTATTTTTTTTCAGGCGTTTCGACTCACTCCATACGCTCCTATAGAACGTTGAACTGTGTATGTGTGCATAAAGCGGGGGTTATGACTGAGTTGGTTTGAGGAACAATGTCAATTATAACAGACCTAAAAGATGTGATGTAAAGCATCCTTATAATATTGTTTAACTTTGTCAGGCCATATGATTGCAACCGAATAAAGGCAGAACAGAGGTTTTCGACTGAACAGCCTTCATTAAATACTAGTTTTAAACGTCGAATAGACTGCTAATTTCCTCACCCAATCAAAAAACCAAGCGGTTGAAACTGCATGCAGTTTTTTATGCAAGCAAAGTATTTGTCGACCAGATGAATCATTTTTCGTTCTCTGCCAAGATGAAGGCTGAATGCTCTTTTAAACCTATTTCGCTCCGAACCTCCTAATCTTTACTTTTTGTCACACCAAGATGTTTCCGTCGTCTGCGATGCCTGTCACCTGGAGATGCGTGAGATACCAGGAGAAGACCGCTTACATTACTCAGATCACGATGGTGTCGCTGGTTACTTCCGTCTTTCGCGGCACTCAAAGCCCTTTGTCGACCGTACGTTTTTCTATAATTTTTGCCTTTTCTCGATATTCGATTGATAGAATCGTTCAACATCATGCAAGCGAAAGCACTTCAGCGCTCTCGTCCCATTTCAGCCCCCTTTTCTCTGCAGACGTTTCAACAAGGTATACAGTGGAATGCGACTCTTCTGGCGGTGGACTCTAACTCGACCCGATACTCGGGCAGACGTATGAGTCCGTCGGATTTATGTTCAGTTTTCAACTAATTTGACAGGTTAAGGTGTGCCCGGACATGCGGATTGTGCTAAAATTCGGCAGACTGAAGATATAATGAGATAACTGAATAAATATTTTTTTTAAGATATTCGGGGGGGGGTTGGCACATTTCAATAATTTCAGTTGACCCGTGGGGGTCGAGCTCACACAGCAGGGCAGGCTTTTGCGTAGCTAACGCTCTACCATTGGGCTACGAGGCTCACCGTGAGCCATGAATTTCATCACGCTTGGGTCGATTTTCTTGCCGAATTTACTGCTCGTATGGGATCCACCAGCAAAGCTACAGTAAGCTGACTGACAAGGCAGGATTTCCTAAGTAATCATCTAGGATGCACCGTATGGACTACTAGGCTAATCATAATTATTAGTTTAGTTTATTTGGTTTATCGAATTTTGTCGAAATCTCCGACTTGAAAAAAAACACATCCCTACCCTTTTTCCGTCCCTTCAGCCATACCACCTGTAGGAAACATTCAGACTCTGGATACCCTCCTCGGCTACGCAATCA